TGAGAGAGAATCTTGCTAAGTTGCCCAGGCTTGCTTCTAACATGCATTCTTCTGCCTCAGACTCTCAGGAAGCTGGAACTACAGGCACGTGCCCCTGCTTCTGGCTTGGGATCATCTTTTCTATAGAGTGGAATTCGGTTGTATTTTTCCCAGAAAAATCTTTTGCATTTCTGTGTTCAAGAATAAACTGCATTACTATCAGTTTTCTACAACTCAGAGTATTGTGATGTATCTGTCAAAGAAAAAAGCAAATCCCTCGGGAATCAGATAACCTCCAGGGGCCCTCTAGAGAACTCTTGGTAATCCATTAAAGCACACATATCACATTATCCCATTTCAAAATCTTTCACAATTTTTCTTGATTACCTTAACTAAAACCTAGAAACAACCCAGAGGTCCATCAATAGTAGAATGAAGTCTGTATAGCAACAGAAGTTAACCCCTGCCCCCTTGTAAAATGCCAGATGTGGTGGCCATGCCTGTAATCCCAGTACTCAGGAGGCTGAGGCAGAAGGATCACTGCAAGTTTGAGGCCAGCCTGGGCTACATTTCGAGTTAAGGACACCCTGAACTGCCTTGTCTCAAAAATCAACCCCCCCAAAAAAACCCACAACCCTGTAATCCCATGGAACAACGTAAATTTCAGTGGCATAATACAATGCATAACAGTGCATACTATATGATCACATTTACACTGAGTCAAGTAAAGCTGCTTTTTGGTGGGGCTGGTGATCGAAGCCAGGACCTTCCCACTGAGCTAGCTCTTTTATTTTCAGATAGGGTCTTGCTAAATCATTAAGTTGCCCACAGTGGGCTTGGACTTGTGACACTCTTGCCTCAGCCTCCCAGAGAGCTTAATCACTGGTGTGTACCACCATGCCTGGCTTCAACAAGTAAAACTTACGTAAACTATCAGACGTCAGTATTGTGGTTAATGTTACTTTTAAATTGGAATTTTTTTTTACTAGGAAAGCCCTTCTGATTTTTTGCAGTTCTGTTTTGTTATCTATATGCTGGTAACAGGTGGCTTAACATTGAAGAACTATATTCCCAGAACTATATTTACAACTAGTGATTTGTGCTTTTTTTTTGAGGGAGGAGGTGCTGAGGATTGAATTAAGTGCCTTGCACATGTTAGGCAAGTACCTTACTACTGAGCCCCACCCCCAGCCCCGATCTGTGCTTCTTCAAATGTATCTCTGTAAGGTTTACCAGCCACAGTCCTCCATTTTACCAGTGTCTTTAGGGGAAGATGGCATTAGGAATGTGTACTGTTGTCAGTATTATTTATTTATTTATTTTTTAGTACTGGGATCAAACTCTGGACCTTGCGCTTGCGAGGCAGGTGGCTGAACCACTGAGCTACATCCCTGGCCCTAAAGTATTATTTTTTATCCTTGTATTTGATTGAATTTTCCATTTTGTAGTTGGTCAGACATTAGGATTTCAGAAACAAGTTTGTTTCTTTGGACTGGCTGGCCTTGTGCTTTTAGAATTCTCTAGAGGTAAGCACTTATACAGCTCTCTCGGAATTTTTATAGCCTTTTTTCTGTGTGTATTCTTGTCTGGGCTGCTGTAATTTCCTTTTGCCTTAGATTAAGTTGTGAGGTTCTAAACTTGTGTTTCTCCACCACTTTTTTTGGTTTGGTGTGTAATTTGCATATTTTCACCATGCGAAAGCTATTTTCTATGGTTGGAAAAGATTTTTTTTCCTACAGTGTGAACAAATCATGCTTTGTTCTCCTTATTGTGCCTCCAAGCTGGTACGTCCGGTTTATGCTCCAAACAACAAAAGTCTGTCATCAGAAATTAAAATGCCAGCAAGAACAAAGGCAGACACCACGAGGAGCTCTTGGAGCTCCCTGTTTGCTCCTCTCCCCATGTTACCGCAGTTGCCAGGAAGTTGGAGCACTGCTCGGTACACTTCTTCCTTGAAGTTCTATTCTTGCATTTATTGTTATTGTGGGTTTAAAAGTGAACTTATAGCTCTGTAATTTTCAGGACCTATAAAATCTGAGCTGTTCTTAAGAAACTTAAAAGTCACATTTGACAGCCTTTTCTGTGAAAGCAGTATTACCAGTGAGCGTACTAGATGAGATTATTAGAGACCCTTTAGAGTGGTAGCTAATGCAGAGTCTCTAAGGACATGACCATGCTCTGTGTGTCCTGTCTTCCTTCTCCTCTTCCTCCTCCTCCTTTGTTTCTTTTTTTGTACTAGAAATTAAACTCAGGGACTTCACATTGAGTTACAGCCTTATTTTTGATTTTTAGACAGGGTGTCACTATGTCTCTTGAGTTGTCCAAGCTGGGCTCAAAGTTGTGATCCTCCCGCCTCAGCCTCCCAGAATGTTCTGTTTGTCCTTTCTAAAATGCGCACAACACATCCTGCCTGTATGTGTCTGTTCTGAAGTGGTATGCTAATGTAGAATGTTCGCATACTGTTTGGTGAGTTCTTTCCTAGGAAGGTTGGTGTTTATGACTCATGTAGGATAATTTAGAGTCACACTTCTAATTCCAGTGTGTTGTACAGTCATGACTTTATTCACAGATATCTGTAAATCCCTTTGTCATAAAGATTCTACGATCTTAACTTCAAAGAATTAAAAAAAATGGACAGTAAATGTGTAGATAACATTTTATAAACAATTCCAAGGGTTTTTTTTCCTCCCTCTGTATCACATTTTTTTTTACGCTTTACCTATAAAGAAGGATTTCTAATAGAAGGATAGAATAAAGCATGTAGGTTTGTTTTGAACATTTTTTTTTCTGAAAACCATATTGTGTTTAGGTTTCAAAATGTTTTTCTATGTCAAACTAAGCTCTTGTGTATTAAATACAGGGATGGTAAACTTCTGTCATATTGTGAGTTTGCCAAAGTAGATTTGGTTTTAAAAAATTACTATTTAGTATGTTTGAGTACAGAAACTCTGTTAAACACAATTAAACTTTTTTTTTTTTTGAGTACTGGGGATCGAAGAAACCACTGAGCTAAATCCCTGGCCCTAAAATTTTTTTTTTTTTAACATTAAGGTTTTATTTGATAGAACTCAAAGTTAAATACCAGACCTCCGGCACATGGAAATAATAGTATAGAATAGTAGATTTTGTGTTAGAATACTCTTAATTTGTTACATAAATGAGAAGTGCTTTTTATTACGTGGAATTACAGTTTCAATGTAAACTCTACAGTATTATTTTAAAACTTATTTTTATTTTCTTATTAATAGAAATATTATGTATGTTATTAGGATTATTGTCTCTTCCTTAGCAAACAATTGATTATCAAAATATAAATGACTTAGTCATCATGCCATTTATTCTTTTGTCTGTTGATAAAATTTCAAGAATTGGAAATGTGGGACTAGCCAAAAACACATCAGTGGATTACATTGTGTATCACTTTTTATCATATGCTTAAAAATCAAGGATAGGGCCGGGGATTTAGCTCAGTGGTTCTGCCTCCTGCCTTGCAAGTGCAAGGAACTGAGTTCGATCCCCAGTACCAAAAAAAAAAAAAAAAATCAAGGATAGTGTAAGCTAAATTTTAGGTAATATATGAAGTGGCAAATTGAACACAGTAACCATTTAATAAGGTCTCAATTTCAAATTCTATTCTGTGACAATAAAAGGTAGGCTTAAGAGCTGCACTATATGATGGTGATGAGTTTCATTTTGAAAATGCAAGGTCACAAGGGAATTTTTAGAATAGATGAGTTCTCCTAGTGGGCTGCACTTTGTAGCTTTTACACGTTTCCTTGGTGGTAGGTGGTGCTGTTGTTGCACAGTTGACCCTTGGAGGCTGTGCATGCTCTGCATCTCACCTGCTATGCAAGGGTTTGCTGGCACAGCAATAATTTGTAATAATTATCATAGATGAGATGAATATTTATAGGAGAGAAAAAATTTACAGTTTGAAGCTTTTAAATTGAGATAGAAGAAAAGCTGAAAGATCTTAAAAAGCAGTTCCTCTAAAAGGTACTTCTGCAGATGTATAATTTAATATGGGAAGATTTATAGGCTTTTTATAATGCATATATTTTTGATATTTTAAACCACTTATTGGACAGGCCTATTAAAAATATCAAAGTGTGTTTCTTCTATTGAACTTCTATATTTATTATATTTATTACAAGTTCTTGGGTATTTAGAACTAGTTTTATAATACATGCCATTTTCTCTGATATTATATACTCCATAAAAATGCTAGATAATTATGAAAATGTATTGAGAGCCACACGACCACTTGCAGTACATCTGCAAGAATGTTCTTTAATATAATCTGCTCTAAATATCAGTCATCAGTGAAAAGCAGTGTTTTCACACTGGATACATACTAGCATACCCCTTTACCATTTGGATTAATAGAATACTGTACTCTTTATATTTGAGAAATCTAATATCACTCGAATGGACCTTCAGATAGCATTTGATTTTTTTGTACAGTAAAAATGATATCTGAATTTTCTTACATATAACTTTGTTCACAGAATATTGAAATTAGAGATACCTTGGAGGTCATTTTACCAGCTTTTCCTTATTTTATAAGTGAAAAAGAACATAGGCTTATAGAGTTAAATGATTTACTCAAAGCTAAAACATTGTTCCAGAAACATGACCAGTTGTAACTGGTGAAAGTTGCTACAGTATGTCAGTTGCAGTTTCCAGAATAGTGTCATAGTTGTTTCACTCTGAAGTGGAAAGCAGTCATGCAGGAATTATACAAATTTTTACATTTAGTAAAATGAGAATTAATAGACTTCTAAGACAGACTGCATTTTTCCAGTTCTTATAGAATATGGGCTCTTATTTTTCTACAATACTTGATAATTTAAGCTATGAATATACTTGATGTGTATGCCAAGCCTAAAATGAATGTGGGTGCTTGTGTGTATGTATTTTTAAGGCAAATTGAGATAAAATTTAGGTGTCTTGTTTGCCTCTAATAGCGTTGTGACCTACATTCTACTTTACTGAATTTTTTTTTGTCTTCTTGTATGCAGATTAGTGGAGAAGCACAGGAGCTCTTCTCTGTTCGACATGGCCCAATTCGAGCAGCTAGAATCTTACCTACTCCACAGTTTGGTGAGTAAAGCCCTGAAGAAAAAACAAATCATTCAGAGTTTCTTTTGTTGTCCTGGACTAGACAGTAAGAATGATAACTAAAGTCTGTTTTCCTCCAAGTGTCCATTCCCCTTCCCCTCCTCCTCCCAAGATAAACTCTTAGTTCTGTCAGTTGAGATGGAAATAGGTAATCTTAACCAATTCAATATGGCTATTCACTTTCTGCTGTGGTTTTGATTTATCTCCATCCTCTTTGATCTCAGTTTAGCCTCTGCTTTTGCTAGCTCTTTCTGCAAGCCCTCTTCTCTCTTGGTTTTCATGGGATCGTTCTTCCCAGATCCCTTCTTTGCTGACTGTGCTGGCTTTGTTATGCTTCTGGCTTGGCTTTCTTCTGTGGGTATTCCCCAAGTCTCTGTTCACATGCTTTGCCCCTCATCTCAGTGATACTTACTGACTTGGAGAGCTTGGTTTTCACTATTATCTTGGTTGTAGGTGACTGCTGTCTGTGTCTTCAGCTATGTCAGAAGTGGATTTTGGGGGGTTAGCCTTACAAATCTGCTTTACTAGTGAATACTTCTTAATGTTGTGTTTAAATAGTATGTATGCTTTATATTTGTGTAGAAAAGTCCAAATGTATGTTTATGTTAAATCTGCTGTTTGGATATAAATAACTCTATACTTTGAACTTTGAAAAGGTTGTGTTTTCTCATTACCTTGAATGTTTTTTCTCAAGAATATTTTGCATATACACCAAAAGTATAATCATATTAATTACATTTGAATACTTTGAAACCTTTTAAAAAAGATGTTAAAATATTTTAATTCTATTATATTTCAAAAGATTAATTTGGAAAATCACCTAAGGGTTACAGCAGTTCATTCTCTAAATTGGTGAGAATGATATTTACTAAAACTTAGGACAGTGTGATTGTACTTAAGTAATTTTAGGGATTAATTTAGTGATTAAATCAGCTTAAATGAAATGGGAAGTGTAGGAGTAACAAGGCAACAGCATCCTGCAGTCTTGTGTTTCTCCCTTGCTATTCAGTTATATGACATATGGATTTCAGCTCCATAGCTGTCTCCCTCTCTCCCTCACATGCACTCTCTTTCTTTGCCTTCCCTCCATCCTCCCAGGTATGCCCCTTTGCTTGAATTCTTTCTCCATCATTTGATTTCTGTTGTATTTGCAATTTGGTGAAAAATTTTGACAAAGAAGGTTCTAGACCTTCTGATAAAGTCTTCACAATAATGAGCTTTATTTTTGGAGGACTGGCATCAAGAAGTTTACTACTAAAGGACTCTTTTTTTTGTGTGTATAATTCACAAAGGCAGATTTTTACCTTTTTATTAATGTTCAACTTTTCTTTTACTTGTGGCAAAAATGCTCCATGAAAGTATCAAACTATGAAAAGTTAATACTGCTAGTATAATTTTATGTAAAAGAATCTTTAATTTACTTTGCTATTTATTAAAAGATTTCTCCATATAATATGCTTATATAAAATTGTTTAAAGTATCATTTTACATGGGTAAATGTTATGACTTAAAAATTAATTGTATGTAGCTTTTATCATATTGGGTAAATTTTTTGATTTATTTTTATTAAATGTAATAAAACAGATCCCATAAAATTTGTAATAGAAAACAGCAATATCCCAGCGCTCTTTCTCCCATTGTGCTTTATTCCTTCTTTTTGGTGGAAGAGTTCTTTAGTAGCTTCCTGGAAAAGCATGTGGGAGATCTTGACTGTCTGAAGATGTCTTTATTCTTTAACTCTTGATGGATAATTTGGCCTGGATAACAACTACTTGTTTCTAATAATTTTAGTTCACAATTTAGAAGGCATTAGTTTAGAGTTACGTGGGAGAGTTAAAGCCATTTTGACATCTTTTTCTTTGTATGTAGCTTGTGGGAGCTCATAGAATGTTGCCTTTGTTCCCCATGTTCTGAAATTTTGCAGTGTTGTGCCTTGACTCATACTTTGTTCTGGTCCCCTTTAAAGTGGAAATGCAAGTTAAATGGTTTTGAAAAATTGTTTTCAGTTGATGTTGTGGAATTTTTCCCCTAGGCTTTCTTTATTTTCCCTTTTTTTAACACCTATTATTTCAGTGTTACACCTCTTGCACTAGTTAATTTAAAAAAGAAAACTTACTCTTCTTTTGTGGAGATTGTCTCATTGTTACTCTTCTATTGAATAATTCTTTTTGGTGATCATGTTTTTCTTATCTTCAGTTTCTCATTCCTAACTCCTTTTGCCCTCCTTTACACTCCCTCTCCTCCTTTTCTTCTCTTCCTTTATTCCTTGGTATGATTTACATATAAACATCAGTTAGCAATTAGAATCCAGTAAACATAAAATGAATTACTCATCATTTTGAGTGAAATTTATTCCAGGAAAAACAAGGATGGTTAACATTTGAAAGTCAATGTAATTTACCATATTAGAATGAAGAAAACTCATGTGATCATCTCAACAGAAATAGAAAAAAATCTTTGACCAAATTTCATAGCTATTTATAAAAAAGTTTTAGTAAACTAGAGAAAGAAATTTCCTGAATGTGATAAAGATTATGCATTAAAAAAAATCTAAAAACCATCATATTAAATGAGGATGCATGGAATGCTGTCCTGCTGAGTGCAGGATGGCTTCTGTCACCACAGCTTTAGTGCAGGGTCTAGCCATTTAAATAAGGCAAGAAAAAGAAAAAAAACCATATAAATATTAAAATGTAAAATTTTCTTTATTCATTGGTTGTATGATGATGAATTTAGAAACATAACAGCATCTATAAACTGTTAGGAGTAATGAGTGTAGCAGAATTGCTGCATGGTTCAATACTAGGTACATACAAATTCAAATAAGTCCATTGCTTTCATTCTGACCATAGAAGGATTGTCTGAAGATGTGATTTCTGAAGTACTTATGGCGCTCATCTCAATATACTGGGGAACAATTTGGTTTATTTTCTCGATTATTTGTGTCTCTTAGTGCTTGAAAATTGCTATTATTTTCAATTACGCTATACAAGGAATTCATAATTTTTTTTTTTTGTACTGGGGATTGAACTCAGGACCTTATGCTTGTGAGGCAGGTGTAGTGCCACTGAGCTAAATCCCTGGCCCAAGGAATTCACAATTTAACATCTGAAAATGTTAAGAAAATAAAAAAAAAGGTGTGTGGGGCAAACAAAGGTACAGGAAAAAATATTAAGAAGTTTAAAAAAACTTTAGATTGCCTTTTCTTCCGGCTTTGGAATGCCAGTGGCAACAGTTTTCTGTTGCTTGGTATTTGTTGCAGAGTCCACCTATGCAGGCAAAAAAAGTAATTGCTGCTTGCTTTCTTTCTTTTTCTTCCTTTCTTTCTTTACCTTCCCGTTCCTTCCCTTCTCCTTTCCTTTCCTTTCCTTCATTCTTTTGATATGAATGACTAGTTACTTTTCTTGAAACAAACATGGACAGAACAAATTCAGAGTTTTTAGTTTATTATTCATAATTTACTTTTTTGGAGGGGTAGATTCATGGAGTACACTTTTTACATGCTGATGCCCAGCATTTTTTAGAGGTACCAGTACATATTTCATTCTTCACATGACTTAAATGTGGTTTTTACCATGTTCAGAGAAGTATTTGATTTTCTATGAAGTCAGGATTTATGACAGAGTTCTCTAGAAGTGCTTGCTGTAATTTTTTTGATGTAACATTTTAATGACTGGTTAAATAGGTGTGAATCCTGTAAAACACAAAGACATAGACACACACTGACACACACACACACACACGCACACACACACACACCCCTGTTCAGCCAAAACAGCAGCAAACTTTCAAAAGTAGGCCAACTGACATTTGCTTACTGTCATCACCAGTGTATTGCAAAGAAGAAAACACAAGCTTATTGACATTTTAAATAGCTAAAACTGTAAGATTTAGGGCTTCCTTAATGTTTTCTGCTCTAATTACTTTTCAGTTTACATCATCTGTTGCATATTTCTTTCATAACACCTAGTTTGTTCATTCAGGCCTTTCTTCTAGGGACTAGATTTTTATATTTTGCCAAGTACAGTGATTTAGGTAAATTGTAACTTGAGCATACATGTTTTATTCCTCTTGAACTTTGTTGTTTTTGGTCAGAGGATGTGTTTCTAGTGTCTGCTTTTGAGGCACTGCATTTTTAGTTTTTGGTGATGTCATGACATTGGCTCTGACAAGTCATGTGTCTGAACCCTTTAATTAAGGACTTTTCCTATGTGGGCTACAGAGAGAGGAAGTATACTGAACAGAGATGAGAGGAAGGAAGTTTATAAATTACATGAATTGTAATGCTGGATGATATTTTTCAGATGACATTCTCAGTTGATTATATAATGTACATTGTTACCACACTTCTGCAAGTGAGTAGTACCATTATTCTGATTTACAAGGTAGGAGACTTGAGGCTCGGAGGGATTATGTGACTGGCATAATCAGCCACACACTTGATAAGTGGTGGAGCGGAAATTTGTATTGTGACTCTTACCTCACCCTGGCCTCACAATTCCCCATAAATATGGTTTTTCTATTGCTACAGGGAACACTTTTGCCAAACCCAGGTATTTCTAGGCTGAATTTCTTATGGCAGAAACCATACACTTGTGTATTTATTAGAATATGTAACAATTAGTATTTTTAATCTTCTTTTTTCATTTTACACTTAGTTATCTGAATGTCTTAATAGTATTTGGAGACCTTGGTTGTTTAGTCTAAAGGTAAAGAACAGTGAAAATAGTTAACATGGGAACCAATATATAGAAAAACCATTTTCTACACTGTGACATTTAAAATTTAAACTGTTGGGAGAAAGATAATAGTCCATCTAACTTTTGTTTGCTTTTAATTAAATCAACTTAAAAAAAATCAGTCTTTAATGGAAATATTGATTCTCTTTTATGTGACTTTGAATAAACTAATGTAAGTACATAAGATATCTCAAATCAGATTTAGAAAAAAAGGTGTAACATGAAGCAACTAAATTACATGTGAGCTTAATGATTCTGACCCAAATAAACAGACTTGTAATGGAGATGCTGATTATTATCATTGTAGCTTAAATACTTTTAGTGTAGAGCTGTGGAGAAGAATATTAGTGTCTTAGTGAATGGAAAAGTTCGTGGTCTTGGAAGTCTATGTTCATTTATGGTAACAGATTCTTAGATGTGAAAGAAAATGAAAATTCAAAATGTATTAAGTAATACATAATTTAAAATAAGCAATTAAAAATTCAGCTTTATTGAAAAATAATTTACATACAGTAAAATTCTATGTTCAATTTCTCTTTCCCTTCCTTCCTTACTCTCTTCCATCCTCCCCACCCATCCATATTCTCTCTCAGTACTAGGTATTGAACCCAGGGCCTTTTCTCTGAGCTGCATTCCCAGCCCTTTTGAGTCAGAGTCTCAGTAAGAAGTCACTTGAGTTGCCCAGGCTGGGCTCACACTCAATCCTCCTGCCTTAGCCCCCCAGGGTACTGAGATTACAGGTGTGCACAATCACTCCCAGCTAAAATTCTTGAATTTTAACTATACCATTTGATGGGTGGACAGATCGACACAGTTGTGTAACCATTACCACGAACAAAATACCTCTGCCTGGGGGTATAGCTCAGTGGTAAAGTGCTGTACAGGCCTAGGATGCTTGAGGCCTAGGGTTTATCCCCAGCACCACGGTCAGATGAACCAAAAGAAAAAAAAAATTGGAGCCTCTTCATTATACTGCAAAAGAAAATCAGCTTGTCAACTTCCTGTCTACCAGGATAGTTACAGTAATCAAGAGATAAAAACAAGTGGTGGGAGGATCAGAAAAGTTGGAAACCTCATACATGGTCCATGGGAATGTAAAACTAATGTAGTCCCTTGAAAACCAGCTTGGCAGGTCTTTAAAATGCTAAACATTCTTTCTGTTCCTAGGTGTGAAATTCAGAGAAATGAAAACATGTCCATACAAAAACATACAAAAACTCTCTTGTGTGAGGGTTTTTATAGCAGCATTATACAACAGTAAAACAGTAGAAATATCCCAAGTGTCTGTCAACTGATAAAATATAGTATGTCCATACAATGGAATATTATTTGACCAGAGACAGAAACAAAATTCTGACACATGGTACAACATGATGAACCTTTAAAATGATGTGTTAAGTGAAAGAAGCCAGACATAATAAAAGACTACATATTATTTATTCCTTTTGTATGAAATATTTTGAATATGCATTCCACAGAGACAGAAAGATTAATGGTTGCCTAGGGTTTGAAGCTTGTGCCAACAGTAAAGGCTTTTTTTTTTTGGTAACGGGGATCTAACTCAGGACCTTGCGCTTTCAAGGCAGGGCGCAGTGCCTCTGAGCTAAATCCCTGGCCCTAGTAAAGGCTTCTTGTGCCCTCACCTCTCTACACTCTTGGTTGTACTCATTTATGTCACTAGTGTTTCTTTTTAGAATTAAAACTAAATGTTTGTTTGTGTTTTTTTTTTTGTACCAGGGTTTGAACTTGGGTCCTTACCCTTGCGAGGCAGGCGGCAGAACCACTGAGCTAAGTCCCTGGTGAATTAAAACTAAATGTATATATACACGTGTGTTTTCTTTTGTTTTGTTTGTTTTTATTTTTTTTTGGCAGTACAGAGAATAGAATTGAGTGCCTTCACAGTGAGGGATACCTGCAGCAATTTAAAAAATGATTAGCTGGGTGTGGTGGTACACGCTGTGATCCCAGCACTCGGGAGGCTGAGGCCGGAGGATTGCTGTGAGTTCAAGGCCAGCCTGAACTGCACAGCAAGATCTTGTCTCAAAAAAAATTATTTTTATTTTGAGACAGGGTTTTGCTAAATTGCTATGTTACAAAGTCTGGGCTCCAACCTTGGATTCTCCTGCCTCAGCCTTCCAGAGTTCTGGGATCACAAGTGTGTGCCACCATGCCTGGCTATAGCATTCTTTGTTTTGTTTTGGCTTTTTTTGGTACCAGGGATCAAACTTGGGACCTTGTACTTGCGAGGCAGGCAGCAGAACCACTGAGCTAAATCCCCAGCCCTATAGCATTCTTTTACACCTAGAGTTTTAAAAAATTCATACCATGCTTTTGAGAGTATCTATGTTGTATATATCAACTTTGAATTCCTTTTTAAAAACAATTTCTGAGTGGGCTGGGGATTTAGCTTTGTGGCATTGTGTCTGCCTCGCAAGTGCAAGGTCCTGAGTTCAATCCCTGATACCAAAAAAAAAAAAAAAAAAAAAAAATTTCTGAGTAAGTAATCCATTGTTTGGGATAATACCATAATTCCTTTCATGAAGAAATAAACATTTGGGTTGTTTCCAGTTTTGCTCTTATGCATAAACTGCTCTAAATACTAAATGTATTTATTTCTCTTGGGTCAGTATTTAGAAGTGAGATTGCAGAGTCTTGTAGGTGTGTTTAACTTTATAAGATATTGGTAGATTGGATTCCAATATCATTCTAACATTTTGTATGTCCACCAGCAATGTTTTAAGTTTCCCTAGTGAGTAGTGATGTTCACCTTTTTTATACTTATTTGCCACTTCAGTATGTAGAAGGGTCTTTTGAAATATTTTGCTTATGTTTAATAGAGTGTTTTGTTTTATTGGATTGTAAGAGTTTTGAAGATGTGATGCTTAATCTTTTTTTTTTTTTTTTTTTTTT